ATAGGACATCAATGAAGACCTTCGCGACAACCTCGATGAGGCTTATGCCGTGGTACTTCACGCACTTTATCTGCCTTCTTGAATACAGGCCTAAGGCTGCCCGAGCCCCAGTTATTAGAAACTACCTCATCACCCCAGGCTTGCTCAATCACCTCATGAAGCCAGCGCACCAGTGCCGACACATTACTTAGATTTCAGCAGGAACACCGTCCTCTCCGTGCGCCTTGTTGTCGTGCAGCCTCTGTATTGCATTGGCGACTTCTCCTTCAGGAGAGGGGTCACATGACACTGCGTAGTTTGGAGAGGGAAGAAACTCCGCTGCAGAGGAGACCAAGGGTGTGGTGGATTAGGTATCGAAGTCGCTAGTAGAGTAGCTCACAGTAGAGGGTTTACCACTGACTTAGCGGATAAGTCGGTAGTTTTTGCGTGTTCCCAACGTTTGACGCCTGTTCTATGGAGGTCGCTATTTCAGCCCAATATTGCCTCCGGTCATTCCACACCGACTTTGCCGTCATCTTCCTGAGTTGGTGGAAGGAATCATCATGACGGGACCTGACTCGGGCCGTCTGAGCAGACAACTTCGGGGTTCTTTCGCTGATCCAGTCACTGCTGCATCGCTGGGTATATCCAAGGATTTTTCCAGCTGCCCCATAGACTGACGTTTCCAGTGAAGACAACTAGTTACTGCCTTCTCTGTCGTCTAGGGTCGTAAAACAAGACCGAAATTCTCCGCTCAGGGCCTCGGCAGTGCTGGTTTGCCGGACTTTTGCGACATCGAGGCGTCTAGGACATGGCATTCTTGTCGCGGATGCGAGATGCACTTTCAAACCTGTACAGAAGAGGACATGATTCGACCCATGGCTTTATCAGTCTCGGCGCCAAGTATCGGTCTGCCATCGTGAACCCGATTGCGGACCCTTGAGCTGACTAGTATGTAGTCAGTCTGACTGGTCGTATGACCGTCGTTTGAGTACCAGGTCAGGAGATGTTTATTGCGATGCTGAAAGCACGTGCTGGTGGCAATCAATCGGTACTGATCAGCGAATTTCAGCAATCTCTCGCCATTTTCGCATCGATAACCAATCCGAAAGCGCCCAAGAAGATGACTGTTTGTGGAGTCGCCAGGTCCAGTCAAACCGTTCCAATCCCGGCAAAAATCAGCAGATCGTGGCGAGGGAGTCTTTTAGCCAACACTTGCAGCTGCGACTAGGACGCCTCTTTATTGTGCCGTTCGGTAGCTGAATTTTGTGCGCACACTGAAATAATGGAGATGTTTGTGAAGGAACCCTTCAGTTGCACATAGGCCATCCGGTCTTTGACTGGTTTCCAAGCAACTAAAGCGAGGTCCGCATGTTGCGAGAGGGCGATCACCACACCGTGTCTACTAGAAGGATCGTATGGGCTGCTTTGGTACAGGGGTGAAGTGTGATTCGACTCTAGGAATCTTTATTTCTTGAGAGCCTGAGTCTGGAATTCGAACTTCAGACATTCACGTTGTACTGATTAACGCTTCGCGCGGTCAGACTTTGAATACCATGGCCCAGGAACGTTCGTACATTCCACCATCCAATACCCAGAGTCTGTCCCCGATTGGGCGGTCAAGCTCAAGTACTATTCGTCCGCACCACTTGACCAGGGTTATGAACCGCGTCGGTTCCCGCGGACGCCGTAACGTGGGTCGTAGTACTGTGAGTGGGTATATTTCTTGAGGTTTCTTGGGAATTTTAAGTACAGGCGAGTCGCCAACAACGACTCGGAGTGTTTGTTCGTGGTTGTCTCATTTGACGTTTTGGCTTAGAAGTCTAACCACAAGGCAGCAGTGGCAAGCAAACTTACAACGTGGATGTCTGCTGTCTGTCTGAGGTACGACTCCCTGACTCGGGCTCTCGTGAAATAAAGATCCCGGGAGTCGAATCCCACTTCACCCTGTACCACAGCGGTCCCCGCGATTCCTCTGGTCGACACGGTGTGGCGATCGCCCTATCACAACAAGCGGACCTTGCGCTACTTGCTTGAGAACCAGTAAATGACCGGATGGCCTACGTGTGACTGAAGGGTCACTTCACGAACATCTCCATCGTCGCTGTGTACGCACCAACTTCGGCTGCCGAACAGCGCGATAAAGAGGCGTTTTACTCTCATTTGCAAGCGCTAGTTGAAAGACTGCCTCGCCACGATCTGCTGATTGTTGCTGGCGATTGGAATGGTCGAACTGGACCTGGCGACCCCACAACCAGTCATCTTCTTGGCCGCTTTGGGCTTGGTTCCCGATGTGAAAATGGTGAGAGATTGCTGAACTTCGCTGATCGAAACCGACTGCTTGTCACCAACACATGCTTCCAGCATCGCAAAAAACATCCACTGACCTGGTATTCAAACGACGGTCGTACGGCCAGTCTTATTGACTACATGCTAGTCAGCTCAAGGTTCCGCAGCTGGGTTCACGATAGCAGATCGATGCGTGATGCCGAGACTGGTAACGCCCATGGGTCGGACCATGTCCTCGTCCGTACACGCCTGAAAGTTCATCTCTCATCCGCACCAAAAATGCCACGTCCTATACGCCTTAATGTCGCAAAAATCCGGCAAGCCAGCACTGCCGAGGCCCTAAGCAGAGAAATCCGGACCTGTTTTACGGCCCGAGCCGACGGAGAAGTCAGTAACCAGTGGTCTTCACTAAAGACATCAGTCTATGGGGCAGCAGCGAAAATCCTTGGATACACCCAGCGACGCCGCAGTGACTGGATCAGCGGAAGAACCCTGCAGTTGTCTGCTCAGACGGCTAGAGCCAGGTCCCGCAACGATGACTACTTCCGCCAACTTCGGAATATGACGGCAAAATCGGCCAGGGATGACCGGAAACAATATTGGGCTGAAATAGCGACATCCATGGAACAGGCCTCGAACGTTGGTGACACTCGAAAGCTCTACCGTCTGATCCGCCAAGTTAGCGGTAAGCCCTCTACACTGAGTGACTCTATTCGCGATGTAAACGGCGGCTTTATTGCTGACAACTCGGCCAAAGTCGAGCGCTGGCGCGAGCACTTTGAGCACCATCTCAACTTCGATACCCAACCTACATCGCCCTTGTTCTCCTCCTCAGCGGAGTTTCTTCCCTCTCCTACCTATGCAGTGCCATGCGATCCCCCCTCCGAGGAAGAAGTCGCCGATGCCATACGAAAGTTGCGCAACAATAAGGCACACGGAGAGGACGGTATACCCGCTGAAATCTTTAAGTCTTGTGTCGACACTCTGGCGCCCTGGCTCCATGAGGTGATTGAACGAGCGTGGAGAGACGAGGTTGTTCCTGATGACTGGGGCTTAGGCATCCTTGTGCCTATCCTCAAGAAGGGAGATAAGACGAGATGCGAGAACTACCGCGGCATAAGTCTCATCGACGTTGCTGCGAAGATCTTCGCTATTGTCCTACTCAGGCGATTCCAGGCTGTGCGTGACTCAAGGACGAGGCCCAACCAAGCCGGATTTCGTGCTGGACGTGGATGCGCAGATCTGATATTCACACTGAGGCGCATTCTCGAATTTCGCCATAGCTACCAACAACCGACGGCCATCTGCTTCGTTGACTTTGCCGCCACGTTCGATTCCGTTCACCGTGAGTCCCTGTGGCGGATAATGGCGCTAGATGGTGTACCGGCAAAAATCATCGCCATGATCAAGGCCTACTATCGTTCCACTACTGCGAGAGTCCTGGTCCGTAACAATCTTTCCCAACCGTTCGGTATTCGATCTGGCGTCCGACAGGGTTGTATCCTGTCACCCATACTCTTCAACTACGCTATTGACTGGATCCTCGGGAGGGCCCTACGCGACAGTGACGGCGTTGAATTTGCACCCGGACATCGACTGACTGATCTCGACTATGCCGATGATATCGCCTTACAGTCTATGGTGTCACGGGTGAACGAGGTCGCTAAATCAGTTGGTTTGTCCATAAACGCTGGGAAGACCAAAGTATTCTCAAGCTGCATCCCTGACCAGGAGAAGGCACCCCTGGGGATTGATGGCTGTCAACTTGAAGAAGTGGACAGTTTTAAATACCTCGGGGTGCGGCTGCTGCCTAATGAACAGAGTAAGGACGACATTGTCTCCCGAATAGATGCTGCCCGCTGGGTTTTTTCAAGCCTTCGGAAATGCTTTTGGAACCGACGTGACCTCTCCATCGCCACTAAGATTCGCGTGTACCGTTCATCTGTTCGGTCTGTCCTTCTCTACGGTTGCGAATGCTGGGCTTTGCGCGTGGCGGATGAGCGAAAACTGGAGGTATTTGACCACCACTGCTTGAGGATCATCCTTCCAGTGAAGTTAACCGACTTCGTCTCAAATGAGATAGTCCGCGCTCGCTGCGACAACATCGCGAGGATAACTCAGGCCATCCAAGAAAGACGACTGAGGTGGTTCGGGCATGTTCTTCGTCGTCCACCTCAGGAGCTCAGTGTTACTGCCCTCGATCCGGCGCCGTTGCCCCATTGGAGGCGTCGAAGAGGGGGTCAGTTCAAAACCTGGCTCGACACTGTCCGTCAAGACATGGAGGTGGTTATTGGACCTTCGGTATTCGGTCTCCGTCGTTGGCGAAGGGAATGGGTTGAGCTGTCTAGATCTGCTGCCGCTGATCGTCACGCGTGGAGAGGTACAATTCGGGACCTCATCGAGGCCGGCTAGATCAGGCATGATCGCAGCCGTATCAAGTACAAAGTACAAGTACAAGCAAACTTATTTATGGGCGGTTCACGGTCGCCATGTCACAGTGCCGTCATCAGGCTTTGCAGCTTTTCTAAAAGGTTTTCAACATGCCAGACCTCAGCCCTCCGTACCCTGGTAGCATTGTCACCGCTGATCCGCGGTTGCTTATCCGTCAGACCTAGGTCTGCTTGTCTCGTAGCTAACCTTCACTGGGGACCGTTCCACTATCCGCCACCCGTGGACGCGCCGGGTAGCCAGCAGCTAGGCTAAAGGGCAACCCGTCTTTCCGCCCATTATAATTGAGCGGGATTTTCAGAAACTGCTTAACGTCTCCGATATTCATTCACAAGGAGGAAGGGAAGACCGGGCAGAAGGCATAACGTTCTCGCCATGCACAGACCTTTTGGTGAACTTAACACCACCGTATGTTGAAAGGCGGCTAACACAACTCAGCTCCTCTGGTATCATAGCGACCACCCGATGGTGCACAAAAGTCTCTCTTGGAGCACTCTTTCGAATGATAAAAGTGCTCAGCATTGAACCGGAGGGACGAGTAAAGGAACTACGACATCTCCAGGACCAAATAGCAAGGAACGGCTACCCAGACAGCTGCATCAGCCGCTGCCTTCGTATGAGCCCATTAAGGACAAACGGAGAACCGCTAACAGTGTGACACCCTCCATCGTAGATAGGGAATGTATCAGAGGCAGCAGAACGCATTGCCGCAGAATTTACAGTAACTGCCATGCGTACCAGGGTCATGCGAGTTGGGGACCGACTTGAGGCAGGTGTTCAGTGGGGTGTAGTCAATAAGATCTCATTCCGCGACTGTTCCTGCTAATATTCGGGCCAGACATCACGATGATTCAGCTCCAGACCACCCGAGCACAGACGGGCCGTTCAGAGAAGCGACTCGCGGTCTCAAGTTGCTACCAACACCCCGCAGGAGTTTAACAAATTCGACTTCGTGAGCACGCGGGTAATCGCCGAACCGCTAATAAGACAAGCCGAGGACTGCTGGAGACCTAGGCCTCTAGTACCAACTCTATAAATATACACGTTTATATATCCAACGTCATGACGCGGCCACACTGCGCAGTCCGATGCTTAGCTAAGAGCGTACACAGTCAATGCGCTGTGAGACCACTGTGACTTAAGACAGCGTGAATCCGGCACGGCCACGAACGCACCCTCTCCATCCTCTCACTGTCAGACCGCAAAACTGTTTCATGCCATAGTCTCTGAAGATTGGGTCCTGTACGAGCCCGAGAGCTCTATCCTGACTGCAGAACGAAGGCGAACGTTTCCCCATTTCCTTCTAGCTAAGGTTCTACAATCCTTGTAGGCGGTCGAATGGCAACTGCCATTGGTTAGTAGAGGAATATTTACCGACAGACAGGGACACCGTAATGGCCATTTCTGCCTATTTACTGTCGCCAACCAGTGATACCCCGATCCCGGGCTGCACACTCGCAATTCGAATCTCGAGTGGTGTCAGCAGCTTATGCGCATTCCCAATATTCGGTTTTGTTCAAGCTATTGGCTAGAACCAGGTGCCTCTGCAAATTAATTTTTCACGGCGGTCTTTTAACGTAGTTGAAACTGTCGTACCAAATACACGAGCTCAGATAAATCGAACGGAGTAACTGGCAAAAGAAAGGAATTTGGTATTCCCCTTTCTACACCTCCAGCTGACATGAAGTTCCATGATTATTGGGATAAGAGCTAAGTAGCAAACTTATTTTAAAATAACTGATGCCGATACTGATTATATCGCTGCCTAAAAACCCTATTAATCTCCGTTTATATAATGTTCAAGTGTTCGGTCCGACGGAGCGCCCGAAATCAGGGAAACCATCTTTGGGAGAACAATTGGAGGAGGAAACCTTGTTTTTCACTTGTTTTACCGATCATACATATGCATTTTTATCGCTGATATTTAAACTTTTTAAACCGGTTTATTTATTTATTATTCTCTTTTATTCCAGACGCTATTTTTACCTCCAGTTGCGCCAGGATGTCGCCACCGGTCAACTCAAGTTAACATCGAAGCAGGCTATCAAACTGACTGCTTACAGTCTACAGGGTAGAAAATGCATTTCGGGATTTTTTGCTTGATCTCACTTTGAGGGTTGGCTTTTGCCATATTATACACAAAAAGAGTTGCATTACATGATGTTTCATTTTGCTCATTCACATCATGCCCGCCTAGATTCGAATTTGCTGGTTTTCTTTTGAGAATGTACGCGTTTCTAAACTACCACTCCATTACTTCGCATAGTTTGGTTTTAATTCTCTCAAGCACTTCACTTCGTCATCCCACTAACTAGGTTTGATGCGGCAGTTTCTGTCAACATTGCCTTTTTAAGAGACGTGTTTTTTATCGCGGATACATTTTGCCGGAGTTTTGGCCTTATTCTAAGTTTAACTCCTAGAATGATATTCCTAATTTTTCTTCAGCTCTCTTGTTTGGCGTAACTGTACCATACATTTTCTCCAGGAGACTCTTTTCTTTATGCTGTAGCTGATCACGGTGATTACGTAGACTTTGAGACAACAGCTATGCATTGGCGCGAGCGACCGGCAGTTTCGGAGGTAACGTTTTTGTGCTTAATCTGAAACCACCTCTTTCGTAGGTAAATACTTGTTTCCTGTTTATCTGGGGTTCCAGATAAGCTAATCGGAGTACCCCATCCCTTCTGGCGTTTTTAATTTTCCCCAGACTGCCACTTTTGTCGGCTTTGTGTTCCGCTTATTCACTGAGACGCGTTCGATGGTAAAGGCGGTGTAGCAAACATGCCTAAAGCTCGTTATATTAACTTCTCCACACCCAAATATACCTGATACCTTTCAGGCATTCGACAGGATTGTGTAGTGCCGTATCGTAACTGCCTACCGTTTACTCAGGCTAGGTCCGCGAACCTCACTTCCACATGACTTCTTCGTTCTTTTCAGCCGCCTTCAGCCGGCCGGCCCCAGACCGTCGGTTACTCCTATATGACACCTTTATTTTTGGTTTCCGCACGCGTATTTCGTACAATAAGGGCACGTTTCTAGTCCGTTAATCGTCTTATTTCGTTTGCTGTTCTGGCAGGGACTCGCCATAACGTTTCTTGCACACACAGCATCCTGAACGCCCATTAAGTGACAACCTTTCTGTCAATCTCTCAAGCATATATTTTTGCCTTTAGAACGGCGTTATATACGGTCACAGACTGTCATCTCGAAGCATAATATAACTCTAAGCTGCACCATTTCCCATATAGTCGAGATTTCCGCTGCTTGAAGTAGACGGACTTACAAACCCATCATTATAAATTGGCTCGCCTTAAGTAGTTAATGGAATTATTTTATTTATAGCTGTTAAGTAGTTCCTTCTCATTGGGGTTTCCACGTTCAAAAGGGACTTAAGTTCTCCTTTACCTCGGACATTTCCAGAATCGATTTTCTGGGGCGGAAAATTCTTACTAAAGAACTCGGTTTTGACAAACGCCAATGTCATGGGTTTTTTGTAGACGCTGCTCCATACATACTGAGGCCGTTAACCCGATATCACTTAGGCTTTTCTGTTAAACGTCAAACTCAAATCGACTTCTACTTCCTCTAGCTAATTTATTAGGCCATTTTACTGACGTCTTGCTCCCATTCCCTCTGTGCAGATGTAACATGTGACATTTGTCAGTTCAGTCGTTGCGAATGCCGATGTGCATCGTTTGCCCCACAGCCTTGTGGGCGCAGGACGGTGACTTGCGCATGAAAGCTTGCGCACGATGCAGGCTTTCGCAGCATCTGCGGCACTCTCTCCCCCTTCACTCACCTAGACCAGGTGACAAGACAGTCAGGACGATCGAAGCCTGAACCGGGCACAGTGGCTAGCGAAGATAAACAAGCGATTTGCGAGTGGCATTCGCGATCTGGTCCGCACACGCTTGACCAGGCTTTCACAGAAACACGGGGGCGGGCCGGATCCCATCAAAGCGGGAGTGCCAAGGAGGTCACATTAAGAAAGAACTATTGCAGCCTGACTCCCGTTTAGGGAGGACCAAGTTATTTTGTCAGTTGGCAGCCTTCCAAGCCGCGACTGCTTGCACACTGGGGTAGTTTCAAAGCTAGTCAGTTTTTTTTTAGTGAGGAATGCGCCGAAGTGTCGTGGGAGTGGATTCCGGATAGTGGCAGTTAATGACCTAAAAGCATGTCAGGCTAGCGTACTGATGATAAAAGCGCTAATAAATCGTTGATAACAACTTGTCTCATTAAATTGGCCTGTCAGAGCTAGCAAGCAAGCTGCAAGTTCCCGTTTTGACTGCTTTTGTAAATTTCTCAAAAAGCTTCCGTGTACATTATCTTTGATTTGGGTGCTCGTCTTCGTATTTCAATTTCGTATGGAGATTGCATGCCGAAGGATGTCACCAAAAAGTTGTACCATTGTCATAAATTGCATATTTAGGTGTGTTATCCTCTTTTCCAACTTGATCATTAACAAATTTAGAGTTTCGAACTTCCTCGACCATTTGGGGTTACGTCATATTTTAGTTTTGTCTGACTCGGTAGTTGCTAAACTGCGTGGTGACATTTTGTCTTATGGGGACTCAGAGTTGTACACTGAGTCTTGCTGAAATTATTCCATAAAATCCCAATAAGTCCGACATAGGACCATTCGACGGTCGTGAGCGACGATGTCCACCGTGTGCACCACATCAGGGTGGTAGTGTAGGAATAGTGGACTTGCGCAGCATCTACCGCATTGTCTCCTTCTTCCCCTCCTCCTCCTCCACGACCTAGTACCAGTGTCATTGACAAAGTCGAGAAAACCAGAGGCGGTAGAGGTGGCTGGGGCTGTGTAAACTCGCACCTGTGTGTAGAACCACACTCCCTAGTCCACAGCCGACACCGATCAGGATTTTACCGAGTAAGAAAGAAGCAGGACGGCTCGGACTCTAATAAGTAGGTGTGCCATAGAGGTCACATTAAGAAGAAGC